GGGGGCGCTGAGGTGTGTGTCTCTCCCGCAGCTGAATCCTGACGTGAACGTCTTCCACCGCAAGTTCGTCAATGAGGTCCGGAGGTGTGAGGAGATGGACAGGAAGCTCCGTACGTTCCTCCGGGGTCCATGTGGTTCTGACTCTGCAACTTTCGCTGATAAAGCCCAGCCAAGGCAGGCTGAGGCTGCAGGGCAGGGCAGGGCAGGGAGCAGTTCTGAGCAGGGGGTGAGGGGGTTGAGGCTCAGTGCCCTCAGGGATTCACCTCCTGCTTGAGCCATAGGTGCCCAAATCAGACACTGGAACAGGCGGTGGCAGGAATCGTGGGGCAGGGGCAGGGTGTGGGGACACTGGCACTGCAGGACCCTTAACTAACACCACCAATGCTGTCTCTGCAGGGTTTGTGGAGAAGGAGATTAAGAAAGCAAATATTCCCATCATGGACACTGGGGAGAACCCAGAGGTGCCTTTTCCGCGTGACATGATTGACCTGGAGGTAATGATGCATTAGGACTCAAACAGTACCTGAGGATGGAAACAGGGGGAATTGTCTCTGTTGGTCAATACCCACAGAGGGACATTGGCCAGAGTCCCCACCTGTGCCTGGATGTGGCTCTGCTGCTCACATCAGGCTGGGTGTGACTCACCAGCCTCTGCTGCCTGTGTCTTTGTCCAAACACACCAGTGAAAGTTCTTAATGGGAATTTGACCATCTGAATGAGCCAAAACCTGTTGGAACTGAACGATTTATGGGGGTGGGTCAGAAAGTTTATCAGGGTTTAATGACTTGAAGAAAATGTGTCAGTCCTGTGAGGTTGCCTGAAGGGAATGTGGCAGCTCTGGAGCTGTGCCACAGCAGGCTGGAGACACACCTGCAGTGGCATCCAGGTCAGGTGGGGACGTGCAGCACCTCTCCTGCTACTCTGCTGACAGCCTGGACAGCACTTACTGATGGAATTGCTTCAAGTCCTTTTCCCCTCTCTTTTCCACACCCTACAGGCAAACTTTGAGAAGATTGAGAATGAGCTTAAGGAAATCAACACCAACCAGGAGGCTCTGAAGAGAAACTTCCTGGAGCTGACAGAATTAAAGTTTATACTACGTAAAACCCAGCAGTTTTTTGATGAGGTCAGAGCACCACGGGGGTCACACCTGGGAGATCTTCTCCTTGAAATTACCATTTGTACTCTCAGATGTGCTTTCAGTTGCTGTTTGGGGCACAAGGGTCATTTTATGCTTGGTTTAAGAAAGCTGCTCGGATTATTTTCCATTTCCATGCAGTGCACACAGCTACCCATGGTTTGCCTCCTGTGATGCTGGTTTGGGTTTGTTCTAATTAAGCACTCTTAAGAATTGTGTAAGGTAATTAAGATGTGAGTGGTTCTTAAAGCACAGCAACAGCCCCAGAATTTGATGGCACAGCGAGCACTGTCTGATGGGTAAGAGTCTCTCTGGTGCAGGTTCAGAGGAGTTACCACTGAGCTGAATTTCCTTTTAGCCTTTGAAGTGTTACCTGGAGACTCATCCGGGTTATAATGCAAAGTCCACTGAAATAATAGATTAATTAATTAATTGAGCCTTTGATCAAACTCTCTGAAGCTTTCAGAGGTCAGTGCCGGAGCAAAGCTGCTGTTTAAAGTCTTCCACATGTTGTCAGACATCTCCTGGGCCAGGAACTGGCAACTTTCACTGGACCTGAGAGGAGCTTCTCTGATGTAAATAATCAACATAAATCCTTCCTGGGAGGACATAACCCTCCCTTGTACAGCTGAAGTGTCTCAGAGTCTTGGCAGTTTCCTCAGAGAGCTCCTGTGTGCTTTTCAGGACACATTTTTGCCTACTACATGTCTTGTTTCCTCTGATCCAGGATTTGATCAAAGAGTTCTTAAGTTTCTCCTGGTGTTCTCAAGGGCTGTTATCAGGTGGGGCTGAGCTCCTGTGCTCTTCAGGCCATTTATCTGTCCGTTTGGGTTTTGGTGTTGTGTCACAAGACACTGCCTGTGAGGCACCAAGGTTGGTCCTGTGCCAGCACCAGGCACTGCTGACACAGATACAGACGCTGCTGCTGATGTGAGGGGTTGATGGGTCCTGGGGTTGATTTGAGTACAAAATACTTGTCTTCGAGTGTTGAATGTTCACTTTCCAGAGTCCCTTGGCCAAACAGGATTAACCTGATAATCCTTCACTTTGCTGTGTTAAGGTGCCACTGCCTGTTCTGAGTGTTGAGTAAAACCTAGTACAGTTGGTGCTGAGCACTTCTGTCTCCAGAATGAATCCCAGGATGGTTTGGGTTGGAGGGACCTTAAAGCTCATCCCCTTCCAGCCACTGTCATGGGCAGGGACACCTTCCACTGGACCAGGGTGTTCAAAGCCCCATCCAACCTGGCCTTGTTAATCACTATACTCTCTGGTGAGAGCTGCTGACTGCAAGTAGAGTTTGATCATTGTAAATTCAAAGATCAAAATCATGTTTCCCAAGAGTCCACGTCAGGTCACCCACGGAATGAGCTCACAGCAGCCTCACATGAACCAGCCAGAGACAGTTTAGACATGTTCTGCTGCTCTTTGGTAACTGTTTTCTGTAGTAATGAAACAAAATACACCAAGGAACATGTGCTGCTCTGTGTAAAAGCAAACTGAACAGCTCGTGGGTGATGTTCAGCAAAACATTAGTGTGGACAATCTAAGCCTGTCTCAGTTCAGCCTGTGCTCAGCAAACAGCCCTGTGGGAGCAGCCCAGGGCGCGTGGCCTGGTGCGTCTGCTCACTGTCCCAGAGTGGCCAACGCTCCCTCCCCTGTGCTGCCATTGCACAGCACCTTCAACACTTGAAGACTTCAATAACTTGTAATTGAGATTGGTTATTCATAGTAATGAGTTGCACAAGAAATGGCTGACTCCAAATTCCTTCATGCTTGGCATTCGCTGCCCAGAGCTGGAGCTTGGGGGGAGGAGGGTGGCAAAATGTTCCTGGTTCTACCTGGGACCATTCCAGCCCAAGAAGCCATTTCTTGTCCCAGCACACCATGTTGATGATTATACTCCTTTTCTCAGTCTTCTTGTCTTTGCTTATGAAGAACCATATGAGCTGGAGAGATTTCTCTGAGAGCTTTGCCTAGAGTGTGAGCGTAAAAGAAGACTGGAAAAGTAACGGTTAATGGCATGCAGTCCCCTTCTCCTCCCTCTGACTCTTCTGCCATCTGCTTCTCTCTGTTTGCTTTGCATCTGTCACTTCTGTCTGGCTCTGGGTTAACAGTTAGATGGTGACATGAATCCATTTTAGTTCTTGTGAACGTTGATTTTTGTTCTGTTTGTGACCTGGAAGGGGCTTGAATTGTATGTGGTCATGTTGGGCATCCAGAGCCATCACAGGGCAGGACTGGAATCAAGGGTGGGGAAAATGAACCTTCTCTGAGATCAAAGCTGCTGATCTGGGTGATGATCAGGGGAACAATAAGCAGTTTTAAAATGCTTAATGAGGAAAGCTCTGCTTCTTGATTACTGGCACGAAATGCTTGGGGGGTTCCAATGCTGAACAACCTGAGGTAGTACAAAGTACTTTACAGTAACTCTGATGTTTCACTTGCTGCTGGTGAAAACTCCAGCTCAGAGTACATTTCCCAGCGCTCTGGTTTCCTACATTGGGGCTGGACAGCTCTTCCCTTCCACAGGCTCTCAGTTCTTGTTCTGTTAAATCTCATAGCAGTGCTTTAATCATCCCTCCAGACCCAGAGCTGCTGCTGCTGCCCCGTTTCCTTCCTAGAAAGGGTCTGACCATCAAACCAGAGTAGCTGAGAGGTGAATCTAAAGAACATGAGGTTTGTTATGCAAATAATCCTTCTGTAAGAAAGTTCTCTTTTGGTAAAACTGGTCTAATCCACACGTATTCTAAACTGTTTTGTTTTGTGGTTCCAACGCCCAAAGCAGGACTTGTCCTGAGTACAGGATGTGTAGCCCAAACAGGCCGAGGTAATACTGAGCATTTATAACAAATTCTCTCTTGGGTGGGTGGATTCGAAGTTGTCACATGTGCTGTCCTTCCTTTTTCATGATTCAGCTGCTAAAATGTAGAGCAGCTCACAAAAATTATCACAATGTCTCAACGGCTGTAAATACAATACAAGCCTCTCACAGTTGTAACTTACTGTTCTTCCACGTCCTGAAATTGATGTCAAACAATCTCTGGGATGTTTGGTCTGTCTGTTTCGTTTTGGGGTACCAAGCTGTCTTGTTTTGGTTGTGTTCTCTATGACAATCAAAATTTTTGTTCAGTTTTTGATGTTGCAACAAGTTGCCTTAGAGTGGAAAGGATGAGGAGTTCCTCGTGTGGCCTTTCCAGGTGGAATGCAGGGCTCCTGCCCTGTGCAACCTCTGTAAGCTGCAGCTCGTGTGTGTACAAGCAGCTGAGCTGCATTCGTGTCAACCTTGCAAAAACTCTTTTGTATATGACAAACACTTGTGTTTGGCAAGCAAGTGAAGTGTTGGGGAGATTGCCACTGAAACGCTGACACAGCTATTGCCCAAGTGGAAGAGCTGGGGCTGTGTCACTGCGCTTGCCACAGACTTTTGCAAGGCTGAGCTGTGTGTGCATCTGACGTGTCCTAGGGTCCAAACTCTGCCTTCCGGTGTGTTTCAGCAAGTCCTCTTAATGGCTCTGTGGGGAAGACCTCCTGTGTACCACAGAGGGTAGACTTTGGCCCTCTGGTTGTGCTCAGGAACTGCAGTTCTTGGCATTTCATTGTATGAGCTGCAGAGGTAGAGCTAACTGAGGTGGGGTGGAACAAGTGTGAAGATGGTGCACCAGAAGATGTGATTTGAGCATCCTTGGCCGGAATTACTGATGCTTGCAAGCTGTATTTCTAAGAATTTTAGCCTGCAAATGAGTTGCAATGAAGGACAGTGTAAAACTGTCCTGCTTTAGTGCCTGGCTGGCCAAGAGATGAGCCACATCACCAGCCTGCCCTAAGCAGCACATCTCATGTGTCTGGCGGTGATCCACGTGGTCAATGAGGATAAATATGAGAGTCAAGTGTGTTTCTCTGGTTCGTGCCATTACATATGGTTCTTGGGAACATCACTTGTATTTAAAACATGAAATTTCTTTTTGAATTTTGCCTTTCTTCAGACTTATATGTCCCCCAACCCCTTTGTTGCAACAATCCTCAAACCTTTCTTGTATGGAAGCCCTGCTGAGCCATTCCACTTTCCCTCTCGTTTTCCTCCTGCCATGTGTGACTCTTGCTGTCCTTTCTGTCATCTCGTTCCTCTTTCCACTATCTTATGTTCATTCTTTCTTCTTTTCTTTCTTCTTTTCTTTCTTTGTCTCCCCCAACTATCTCCTGGCTCCTCATTCCCTGCATGCCACTAACTGGTTTCATTAGATATTAATTGATTTGTGAATTCAGGCTGAATTGCATCATCAGCAGATGGCGGATCCAGAGCTGTTGGAGGAATCCTCTTCACTGCTGGAACCGAGCGAGATGGGAAGAGGTGCCCCGCTCCGACTCGGGTAATGGCACTGGGGGCTCTGCCCTGCCTTGGGGTTGCTGGATTAGGGATCATGAGCCTCTGGAATCAGGAAGGAGTTGAGTGCAGTCGTGGGACTTCTCATGCCAGGCAGATGGAAGCTGATGTAAAACCAGCTGCTGCTCTCTGCTCCTGTCCTGCCCACGATAACTTCCCAGATCCTCTTTATGCTTCTCTCATTTCTCTCTGCACCGAAGAATTATCCCAGTTTGTTCCCTGTAAACCTGGTTGTTTGCTCAGACATTCTGAACTCTCACAGCTTTGTTGAAAGTCATAACTACTGTGGGCACATAATGCTCTGAAACAACTGTATAGTTCTCTGTCCTCTTTATCAGCTGCTTCCAGGCTTCCTTGTGTGTGTGTAATTCTCTATGGAACATGGGGGTTTGGGCTGGTGAGGCTGAAGCACAGGCCCATGACATGGTCACTGGCAGGTGTGGCTGATGATAAAACAAGACGTTTGTAGCTTTCGGTGTGATTGTGGCCCCCAGTTGCCTCTGTGTGCTGTGTGGTGGGCTCTGGGGTGCCTGGGGCAGCCCTAACGCCTGTGCTGTCCCGGCAGGTTCGTGGCTGGTGTGATCAACCGCGAGCGCATCCCCACGTTCGAGCGCATGCTGTGGCGCGTGTGCCGCGGCAACGTTTTCCTGCGCCAGGCTGAGATCGAGAACCCGCTGGAGGATCCCGTCACGGTAAAAGGGACCGTCGCGTGTGTGACAGGACCTGAGAGCTGTGGATGTAGATCGAAGCCTCTGTCCCTCTGAGCTCCATGCTTTGGGTCGTGTCCCTCCCCAGCACCTACTGCAGCCTCTGAGCTTCAGGGACAGATGTTGTCCTGTTGCATTGAAGCAACAATAAGAGGCTGGATGGGGGATGCTTCTGAAAGGGGGAAACAACTCAAAACGTGGCCTGCAACAGAGCCTGGTGACTGCTCTGGCCCAAACAACAAGTGCAGGTCCCATGTGCAGTTCGAAATGAGGAGTGATCCCTCTTGGAAGCAGCTCTGTGAGACATGGGCAGTGTGTAGCACCTGTAGCTCATTCATCCTGAGCATAGACCTTTTGCTCTCTTATTAATTTGCTAATCAATGATTTAAAGATCCACCTGAGAACTGTTGGGTTTAGTACAGATATAAATTGTAGATGTGGTTGGGTTTTACATCCAGTGTCCTCTGTGCTCAAACCAGCAGGCACTGGCCAAAGCTGGAGAACCCTTGCTCCTCCCCAGTAAGGGCTGCGTGGGGGCTGCCCTGGCACACAGACCCAGGAGCTGAAGTGCAGGAACAGCCTCTCTTTGTCACGTAAGGCTGACACATTCCCTTGTCCCAGCGACTGCCGTAGCTGACCTGTGGAATCATCTGTCTGCTAGAGAGACTTTGTTCTTATTGTGCAGAACTTCCTTAAATTGAGGTCACACCTAATGTAATTATTCTTGCAACATTATGTTAAAATTTCCTAAGTAAGGTAGAACAATAACTTGTCAACAAATGCAGGAAAGGGGCCCTGGCTGCCCCCACGGACACAGCTGTGCAAGGAACGTGCTGTCAGTCTCCCTGGGAGCCACAGTGGTTACACTCCCCCTCGTCCTACCTTCATTCCCTCCCCAACTTTTGCTTTGGCTCTGTAGGTGAGCTGACTGCAGTAAATGCTGATAAAGATTTCATTGTATCTCCATTATTTTTGGAGATCTTCCCAGGTTTTCCTGTTTATTGTATTGCACAGAATCAATAATGGATAATCTGGGACATTCTGCTTCAGTAAACACAAATACAGTGCAGTGGAGCTGAGAAAATCACTCCTTGTGCCTGTTTCAGTGTTACTCAGGTGCATTCTTGACCCACTGTGCAGCTCTGAGCTCTGATGGTCAGACTCTGGAAGGAAAAGCAGAACTCTTGCAATCAGCTGTCACGCTAATTTCTGCAATTCTTTGCTCTAGGGGGATTACGTGCACAAGTCTGTGTTTATCATCTTCTTCCAAGGTGATCAGCTGAAGAACAGAGTCAAGAAGATCTGTGAAGGGTATGGAAGTGACAGCTGGGCAGCTCTCAATTATTTGAAACACACTGACATGGCTTAGTATCTATTTTTCTCAACTCCTCATTTCACAGTGGCTGCAGGAACACATATTTTGACAGCACATAAAGTGTGCCATGAGTAGCTGAGACATATTTTGCAGTCAAACTCGCCACTCCCCAGGCTGTAATGCTCGAAGTACACAACTGCTGTGCTAGGGAATGCCAAAAAACAAAGGAGATTTGTGCTCTGGGATGGTGGATGTCAGCAGGATATTATCACAGGGGAGACAACAGTGATTGCTTCTAGCAGCAGCTGCCCTGGCATGACAGCATCCCCCTGAGCTGGGTGGCTGACAGCCTCGTGACAGTGCCCTTGAGACACTGGCAGCACAGGGAACAGAGGATTCTCTCCCACTTCCACTTTCTTTAGCATTCAGCTTCTGTTTTGGCCTAAAGCAAACTTCTTCACTCCTTTGATTTAGAGGCTGGAGCTCTGCTTGGCAGACTCTGCTGATCAGAAACTTCTCTTAAGCTGCTTCTGGCTTTGTTTCTGTGCTCAGGCTGAGCCCTGTCCCACTGATCCCTCCATCTCTGTCACTGAGGTGCTTGCCTGTCTTCCAGGTTCCGAGCCTCCCTCTACCCGTGCCCAGAAACACCCCAGGAGCGGAAGGAAATGGCTTCTGGTGTCAATACCAGAATTGATGATCTTCAGATGGTAAAATAACTGGGGTCAATGCCCTGTCTTTCATTTTTTTCTTGAGTAATATAGTTGAAAACTTCTTTGGATCCTATTAAAACAGGAGGATTTTTGGCCCTGTTAGGTGACCATGTTTTCAGCTCCAGGTAGCTCAGCAGTGCAAGAGAGATGTTTGGAGACTGCCTGCTCAGTTGTTTCTGTGTCAGGGTTTGGGATGGGGAGGTTTAATCTTTCTGGAGGGCTGAGCAGTTCATTATATACACGAGTACAGAGAACTCCATACCAGAGAGCAAAGAGGAACACACATGTGAGGAGATCCTGTGTGTTCCAGCTCTTACAGCATGTTGTGTAATTGCCTGTTTCACCTGCAGGAGCTATGAAAACATTTCAGCTTGTTTCCAAGCTGAGATAACAATGCTGACATTAACTGAGCTCTTCTTTTTTCTGCCTGTCTTTATATTTTCACGTTGTGCTGTCCTGAAGAGCTTCTGCTTTACAACTAATCTTTTGCGCACAACAAGCCTGTGTGGTAGTAAAAACTAATCAGCACCCAGATCTCCTGGGTGCCCACTCTGAAGTATCTGGGTCTTGCTTTAAGGAAGAAGGGCAGTATGTGATAGATAGTGCAGAAAGATTTAAGGGATTTGAGACAAAAATTAAAGAAAAGATTCAGAAACTAAAAGGAAAAAGGGTTGAATTTGACCTGCTTATTTGATACAGAAACTGTCTCAGGTTGGGAGTTGTGCAGTGCAGTTCAGTAGCTATTTGGAAGTAGACAAGAACTGGGTGTGTTGAAAGCTGCAGTGCCCTGTGTCCTCACTTTCCCTGCAGTCTAAGACTTTCCACTCTGGAAATCTGACTTGGCCTGAGTTTGCTATGTTCCAGTTGGAAAACACCCTCAGTAGGAAACACTTTCTCCTTTTCCCTTCAGTAAACAAGTCTTTCAGGGTAATTTCTGTGTTTTCCTGAAGCAGTGAACCCCTCACTTGCAGAACCCTTCTCTGCTTTTTTAACCTGGGCGGAGGTAAAACTGTTCCCTGTGATGTTCATTGTTTTAAACACCCACTGACCTTGAGGCCAGAGAAGGAAAGTAATCAAAAACTTCCCTGGAAAAAGCCTTTAGGCCTTTTAGCAGAGCTAATTAATGTGCGGACTACAGCATGTCCTGCAGGCATGGGTCAGCCTGTGCCTGGCTGGGGGAGAGGGCTTATTGTCCATCCTCTGTGGGTAAAGCTTGGCTTGTTGGTGCTCCTTGAGCTTTGGTCAAGGATTTGGCCTCATCTTTTTCCTGCTTCTCTGCAAGGTGCTGAACCAAACAGAGGATCATCGCCAGAGGGTTCTGCAGGCAGCGGCTAAAAACATCCGCGTGTGGTTCATCAAAGTGCGAAAGATGAAGGCAATTTACCACACCCTGAACCTGTGCAACATCGATGTGACACAGAAGTGTTTGATTGCTGAAGTCTGGTGTCCTGTGGCTGACCTCGATTCCATCCAGTTTGCTCTCAGGAGGGGCACTGTGAGTAGCTGTTTGGGTACAGCCTCTCGGCTGTGGCAGCACATGGATTCATTGGTTTTTCCTAATTGTGAACCTCTGAGCACCATCCCCTTGGGCCGTTGGAATCAGCCCTCCCAGAGGACAGTTTATTTAACACACAGGAGTCATGGCTTATAGGCAAACGTGGTAACAAATAGGTTGTGTGAAGCTTTGTGTTCAGGAGAATGCTGGAACAGTGAGGATTTTGCTGTGTGTGAGTCCTTTGGTATGTTCAGTTATCCTGGCTGTGCTCTGTAGTCCAGGTGTCTGGATACAGGAGCTCCCCAGGATGCTGGCAAGCTCACCCTCTGCTTGGATAGACAAGAGGGTTGGGTATCTTGCAGTCCTTTCACTTGCTGTTTTAAAAGAAACAAACAAACTCTTGCTTGAGTTTGCTGGTCTGTCCTACACAATGTTCACCCTTACTCCAAGTGCTTCTCCTGCTGCACAGAGTGGAGAGCAGTGTAATCCTGGCAACCTTCCTCAGCTGCTCCAGTGCCTCAGTGTGCAAGCACATTGCAAATATGCAAGCTTGCAGTTTTCCAAATGCCAAGGGGAAAGCTGTGCCGGACTCCGTCCCCCAGTGCTCCCAGTGTGGGTTCACTCATCTTCTGTTTGTTTTCTTCAAACAGGAGCACAGTGGATCCACTGTCCCATCTATTTTAAACAGGATGCAAACCAACCAGACCCCACCCACCTACAACAAAACTAACAAGTTTACTTGTGGCTTTCAAAACATTGTGGATGCTTACGGCATTGGGACATATCGGGAGATAAATCCAGGTAAATTCAGGCTGGGAAGAGTCCAAGACATCTGTCTCAATTTTTTAGTCACAGTGTTTCTCTGTATTGTCCCTCCTGTGTGGAAATTTCTAATAAGAGACTCAACAGCTTTCAGAAGCAGAGGGGAAGTTCTTATAGCGCTCAGTTGCATGAGTTGTACCTTGGTGAATGTGGACTCACACACAGTGCCCTGGGAGTGTCATCTCTTCCCTTACAGCTCCCTACACCATCATCACCTTCCCGTTCCTGTTTGCTGTCATGTTTGGGGACTTTGGCCATGGAATCCTGATGACTCTCATTGCTGTCTGGATGGTGCTGAGGGAAAGTCGGATTCTGTCCCAGAAGAGTGACAATGAGGTGAAGTGGCAGATCTTGCTCAGCTCTGCGTTTCAAACAAAGAGTTGCATCTTGGTTCACTCCCATCCTTTCCCCCTTGAGCTGACCAGAGCTGAGATGCCCTGGCAGGGCATGGAGGGGGCTGACAGAGCCTGTGCTGTCTGGTTCCAGACGTGCGCTGCCAGCTGGGGGTTGCATCAGGCTGTGCAGGGCAGTTTATCCTCTGCAGCTAATCCCAGGCTCCCTGTGGACAGCCACGCTGCCTGTTTATCCTGGTTATCAAATTCTGTGCTGCTGTGCTCCCTCTTGCTGCCCTAATCCCTGCCAAGGGGAAATAGAGGCTTTAGACTCTTCAGTCCATATGGCTGATGCTTCTCAGACTGATTTCCCTGGTTTGTCCTTCCCTGTTCTCATGGAGTTTCTTTGTTCCTTTTGTGTTTTTGCCCTAGATGTTCAACATGGTGTTCAGCGGTCGATACATCATCCTGCTGATGGGGCTGTTCTCCACGTACACAGGCCTCATCTACAACGACTGCTTCTCCAAGTCCCTCAACATGTTTGGCTCCTCCTGGAGCGTCAGACCGATGTTCACTAAAGGCAACTGGTCGTGAGTAAACCCTTGGTAACTACTTAGAGAGGGACAGTGAGGAGCAGGTGACTTATCCTTCCCCATTGTCCTCCCCTCTCAGCAAAACAAAACCTTCTGAACTCAGTCTCAAGGTGAATTGGAAGAGAAATGTAAATGGATATTTGTCAAGTATCAAAACAGCATCTTTTTCTCCCCAGAAAACTTGTAAAGATGCAGTTTCTCACCGTTCTCCTCATAGGCATTGCAAGATTCCTGTCCCCTGCACCTGTCTTCCTTGTGACACTGAGGAAAAAGTAGGGAAATAGGTTTATTATTCATTTGGGAAAATCTCTAGGGCCGCACAGGATCCTCACAGTTCTTTCAGTCTGAGCTATTTCTTGCTCTCACAAGGGAAGAGTGTGGTTAGTTTTTACAGAAAGAGGCCAGCATCGCTTGTGCTAATGTCTGTATAATCTCATTCCCAAACAGAGATGCTTTGCTGGAGACTGCTCCCCTGCTGCAGCTGGACCCTGCCATCCCAGGGGTGTTCGGTGGGCCCTACCCCTTCGGCATCGACCCGGTAAGAGCCCCTCCTTCCTCTGCAGTCCTTTGGGAACACACTGTGTCAGCAGAAGGGGAGGTGCCTGTCCTGTTTGCTGTGAAAGATTTCCCCAGCTCAGCCATTCCCTTAGCAGAGTCCATCCATGATGGGAATACTCCTGAACCGTAGAATGAATTTGGTTCCTACTGAAACACCAGGTTTGGGATGGAGACCCCTGTTCTCGGGTCCATTGAGGGCTGATTTCTCACCCTTTCTAACCTGCAGTGCTTTAATCAAATCTGATTAGACTTGCCATTCACTCTCTGAAGTTACTTTTTTGTCTTGGGGAAAGTTGTTTATCTTTTTGTACATTTCCCAGTAATCCTGTCACATTGTACCTGCCTGTACCTCTGCTTCTCACTCTGCTGGGAACGTGTGACACGAACCTTGCATGTGTTCCACGTAAAGAGGAAGTGCAGGAAGTCAGAGCTGTGTGTAATTGTTTCTTTACATGGATAATGATGTTTTTTTCTGGTAAGGATACAGCCCCCTTTTTCCTGCGGCTCTGAGCTGCCATGAAAACAGGTGTGATTGCTGCTCAATGGTGGGCTCAGTTGCTGTAAGGCTATTCCTGGCAGAACAGCTTGTCTTCTCATTTCCCAAAAGATGATGTCCATGGGACAAACACACCTCTAAGAACCTGCTCTTTCAGCCTGGCACTCCCTGGCTGCTTCATACTGTTTAGCATACAGTGAGCATTTTCCTTCTCCACTTTTCCTTTCCCTGGTGTGTGCCTGACTGGATGTTGTTTTTCCCAGATCTGGAACATTGCCAACAATAAGCTGGCCTTCCTCAATTCCTTTAAGATGAAGATGTCTGTGATTCTTGGTGTTATCCAGATGCTCTTTGGTGTTGCACTGAGTCTCCTCAACCACATGTAAGTACTTTGCTCTGTTTTTGTCGTGGGGGGAATGTGCTTGGGTGTTGTGTCTGTGTTGGTTTAAGATGCAGGAGCCTGTCAGCAGTGCAGTCATTTCTGGGTGTGGGAAACTGTGCCAGGTAATTCCTGTGCTTTGGCCCAGCTGTTGTCAAGCTGCTGAGCCCCTGTACTCTCATTCCAAAGATGCTCTTCGTGCTCTCATTAAAAGTTTTTGCCCTAATTCCAACCAAATGTATTATTAACTCTCCTTTTTCTTTTTCCCCTGTAGCTACTTTAAGAAGCCACTGAACATATACCTTGGATTTATCCCAGAAATGATTTTCATGTCCTCTCTCTTTGGATACCTTGTTATTCTCATCTTTTACAAGTGGACAGCCTACGATGCTCACACGTCAAAAGAAGCACCAAGCCTCTTAATACACTTTATCAACATGTTTCTGTTCTCCTATGAGGACACCAGTAATAAGATGCTTTATAGTGGGCAGGTGCGTGCTCGTGCTAGAACGAGATCAGAGATGCTTTGAGATATTGGAGTGTTTCATTGATCTTACCGTAATTACGAAGCCAAGTATGAAACATTTTTCCTCTGTGACAGCATTTCTGAAGGCTGATACTGTGTAATGTTGAAGAAGGAAGGAATAATCTATACCAGGAATGTATGTCAGTCTGAACATAAGCCAACTAAGCTCTAGAACATTTGGATCCTGATTAATAGTGGAAAGCAATCGGGAATATTGTCCTATGTCTGCAATTCTCAGCTTGCTCGGACACCAATGCCATTTCCTCCCAGCACTACCAGACATCTGGCAAATTCTCTTCCCCTGCAGGATCTTTTTGATTTTTCCCTCATCTAACCTAGTCTCAGCATTAAATGCTGTGTTCAGTCAGAGGAGGCAGCTGCAGGCATTAAGTACGGCTCATTTGCTGTTCCCAGAAGAGAAGGAGATGGTGAAGTGTCCACACACCCTGAGAATTCAGCATTCTTGCTGGGTTCTGTGTGTGTTTGAGCAGGGACTGCCACAGAACCACCTGAGACTTGTTTCTTTTGCAGAAAGGGCTCCAGTGCTTCCTGGTGGTGGTGGCATTGCTGTGCGTGCCATGGATGCTGGTGGCCAAACCTCTGGTCCTTCGCCAGCAGTACTTAAGGAGAAAGCACTTGGTGGGTGACTCCCTCTTTTATATTTTCCATATGAAAACTAATTATGGTTGAAAAGCTGTGTTCTCCATCTCAAGCTTGGATACAGGGGTTCACAGTGCATTGAGGCCTGTAAAGCATTCTTGCATATTCCTGGGCACACAGGCAGGTGGGTGTTACTGCAGACAGAGTGTTGCCTGCCTGCTCCCCAGATCTGGATCCAGCATCAAACCTGCTTTAAAAACCCATTATATTGGTAATATCAGAACAGTGTCTCTGGCTTGGGCTTTGGCAGCTGGTTTAGGAACAGTCTTACTGGCTGCTGGATGCACTTCTGTGCCTGGGCTAGGCTGGCAGTGGGCACAGGTGGAATTTGCTGTCAGACTTCTCAGCTGTCTTTGTTAAAAGCAGTTCGGATGGTAAAAAAAAAAGATCTAGAGGAAAAACGTAGACTCCTACAGTCATGTGAGAGGTTGTCTGCTGGGGTGCTCTGTAGGTTTCCAGCTGCACTGTACAGCACAGTGTGTGAGATGCAGGAACCTGGCACAGGTGCACTGCGGAGACCTGCGAGTTCTCCCTGCATGTCTGGCAGAGCTGTGAGGGTGTGCAGCAAGTCCACGATCAGTTCAGTTACAGACACTCCCTCTCCCTTTTCTGATCATCTTCCATCCTCCCATGTCCCCTCCATTCGTCTCCCTTTCTCTTTTTGTTCTCCTCCTCCTCCCTCTCTCTTCTCCGTCCTCCCCCAGGAGGGGCAGCCCGAGGAGGCCCAGGGCAGCACGAACACGCAGGCGCTCGAGGCAGCAGCGGCTGCAACAGTGAGTGCACTTCAAACTCGCCTGATGCATTACAGACGGGACATGGCTTTCTGTCTGGTTGTCGAGGGAGCATGGAATGTATCGGAGTTTCATAAGGGAATGGCAACTGCACCTTTAGGGTGGAAAACACTTTCTCTTGGAAAGAGCAAAGTTCAGCCAAATTGATACATTCTGGATGGACACCCAGGCTGGAGAATGATAGTTACGTGTGCACAGAGACACTTCCTTGCAGGAGTGCTGCTGAATCCAACCTGCAGAGCAGCACAGCAATTTCTGTCACAACATCCCCCCAGGTTAAGTTCCCTTTTTTTCTGTTCTTGCATATTTGTTTAAGATAGATTAGGATTCCTCTCAGTGTAGCATTTCTGTTTGCATTGTGTGTTCCCAAACACACAGGGATGTGAAGGCCTCCAGCAACTTCCCATCAGTGATCACTGGATTTGTGACACCTCTGCCCTGCACACACTCTGACCTGAAACTGTTCTAAAATTCTTGTTCACAAACAAGCCTCTCAGTGGTGGTTGTTTCTAATTCTTTGAGTCTGAGCCTGTGGACAGCCCTTTGCTGCCAGAGCTTTCTGGTGAGGACTGGGGCAGTCCCCAGAACTTGGTCCCTTCAGTGCTGCCTGTTGCAGCTTGGGTTTAGTTGTAAGTGCTGCCTGGCTGACTAGGGAGTATGAATCTCACTGACTTGGTGCAGCACGTTGTGCTCTCCACGTGCCACAGGTGCCAGGAGGAACAGTTCAGCTGTTTCTTTTGTGACATTTGAAATGTCAGACATGAAAATGGATCTTTTGTGCATAGTCCAAGCAGCATATGAAGTGCATCTCCATTGGGAAGATGGAAGGAGAAGTCTTGTGTGAGGTGTGCTTGGAAGGATCAAGTAAACAGCTGGAGCTGCTGGAGCTGTGTTTGGGTTGGATGGTTTACAGGGAATGGATATGAGTTGAGTGTGAGGGAAAAGCTGCAAAAGTGCAAGTTCACACAGGCCAGAAGTACATAAATAGAATATTGACACAAAGCATCAGTGACTGTGTTTCAGAGGTGCTGGAAATCCTAACAAAAGCATTGCCTTGGTTGTAAATATGGGGGTGTTTAAATTTTATTTCTATTTTCAGAGCATAAACACCTACCTGATTTGTTTTTAGAAACCTGACGTCTTTAATCCACATCTGGCCTTTTGTGCAAATTTGTAGTTCATCCTAAGATAAAATCAGGCTTCTGAGAACAGATGAGGTCAAAGAACTGTGAGCAGCTGTTCCGTGGGTCTGCACAAACACTAGGTCACAGGACCTTCAGCCTCCTGGGTCTGCATGGGCATCCCTGAACCTCTGCAGTCTGGATGTGGCAAGTCAGCCTGGTCACTTGTGACCCAGGACAGTGCTGGAGCTGGACACAGGATTTGTTTGTGTTTGTGGTGTTGGAGTTTGCCTTTCTGGGGCCAGATGGGAACTGCTCCCGATTTCATTTCAGCTCAGTCTGTGGTTGTTCTTTTCACTTTGGAGCCCTGGAGGTGCAGCTGAGGGTCAGATGCTGAATGTCAGAGCAAATGTCTCTAAAAGGACCTGCTTGTAGAACATAGAGTTTCCAGGCAGGGCAAGGTCTGGTTTCCCTTCTGGTGTTGGTGTGCCTGAGGCTGGTGGCAGCATGTTTGTGTGAGAGTGAGTGTGTTCTGCTCTGTGACCTGTTCCAGTAGCCCAGCAGTGTGTGTCAGTTTGTCCAGCACTGCTGGGCAGGACCTGGGGCTGTTGTATGTCAGAGCCAGCAAATGTCCTCTGAGAGATGTGCCATTACTGCCCTCAGGGCTGCAGTTACACTGTAGAGATGTACCAAGGATTCACTCAGACA